CTCTCATGCAGTTTGAGGTAAGAGTTCAGTGTACCATGTTCTGATCAAGATGCAAATTAAGCTGAAGTCACCATGATCTCAGAAGCCAAGACTAAACAGATACTTGTTTTGTCTAGTCTAAGGGGACTATCTTCACATACCGGTTCTTAAAATTCCTTTTTCATAGTATCATGTGCCCCTTGTGTGACTTTTGGGGGCCAAGGAAGATTAATATCTTCAAGAGCCTAAATACAGAAGTTCACTCGTAATCTTAGTGCTTCGTGTCTGGCTAAAATATCCAGCATGAAAGCTCTGCAAGGTAGACATGCTGTCTAAGGTGACTGTGGATGGTCTCACCGATCACATAAATCTTGAAATATTTTTGAGATGTGTATGTTTAAATGCATTGGCCATATGTTCTTAGTTATGCTTGCTATAAATGATGAAGGAATGATGTACAGCACTGAAGTTATTCCAGTTTACATCAGTGTAGCTGAGAGTAGAACATGGCAAAGGCTTCTCCTAGCAAAATACTCATGGGATATGATTAGTAAAGTCTTATGCCAAAAGTTGGTAGACATCCAACAAGACTTCACAGCATAGTATTTCTGGACATACTCCAAGAAGAGAATGATCCAAACAAGACCAGTTGCTGATGAAAGAAGATCAGAGTTAAGTAACAAATGTCTATGTGACTGGGAATTATGTGTATGTATTGCATAATATATACCCAAATATTTATATTCTATATTTAAGTTTGCTCTGGTATTAGTTCTTTCCCCTTTTCATATGGATAAGGGTAGCTGACGAAACAACACAGTTGTATTCACAGAGACATCGAGATAACCGAAGGTCAAAATGAAGGAATAGTGAAGAAAACAACCAAGGCATGTTAGAACATTAATCTAGTCAGAGCAGAGAGCAATCAGTTCTGACTTCTTCTTATGTTTAGTATCAGGTTTTGCGTAAGGCTAAGAAATCTATCCAGAAGCTGGAGCAAACCTTGGGTTCTTTGCTGAAGATGAAAGGTACTGTATGCAAGTATTTGCCTTGGACAGAGTGCCTGGACTTGTTTGTTATTTATTTGTTAAATAGAGACAGATAGGTATGCGGCTGAGCCCATTAAAGCATTAGAGCCAACTGTGGCTTTAGTTGTAGCAATAAGCAAAGGATGGCGCAAAAGTTTATCAACTCGTGGAGCACTGCACCTCAGAAATCCCCCTCTGACTCTTCAGTCGTTCCTACCCCCTCCCCAGCCTAGGTGAAGGAAGGAAACAAGTAATTCCTGCTATCCCAAGGCAGCAGGTAGTTCAGGCAGAGTGCCCTTGTCACCCTGCTGCCAATCTACCCCCAGCAGGTGTGGGGCTTGCCTGGGTCCTCAGGCTGAATGTTTGGGCTCCCATTGAGAGGCTGCAGGAGCATGTGTGCTCCTCCTGGCTGCAGCAATGTGGCACAGCCATCACGAGCACCCAGCGTTGCAAGTCAGCACAGCCAGAGCTTAAACTTCAGAACAGCAGGCTCTGGTGTGAGTTAAAGGAGAAGGACAGAGAAGCTGTTGAGGCTTTCCTAGTATAGGAAATGGAAGCCTCTAGTTAAGAATTTACTGCGATAGAAACGGGTAAGAGAGATGCTGCAGTTTTGTTTTCTTTCAGCTTGGCGGGTCGTCTTCATGCACTCCTCCGTTACAGCCTGCGACACCATGCGTCACGCTGGTCTAGCATGTGTTGTCAGCAGTTGAGGCAGCTCCCGCTGTGGGGCTTCACGCCCTCGCCATTGTGCCTTCTGTTTACTAATGCTGGCCATTGCCTCCAGTGGTGGCAAGTAGGACTGGGGGCTGATGGGGTAGGGACTTTGGACATATTTTTATGTCCCTTCAAGTGTCCAAATCACTGTCAGCTAGAAAAAAACTTTGCTATTCATGCAACTTGCACCTCCAATAATTTGCATCAATTAAAAGTCCCAGTGCTTAAAATGAGCACATCTCTGAAGCCACATCCTTGGATAACCCATAAAAGTCAGTCATAGGTAGCAGGAATAGTTTGACAGAGCAAAATTGAAGGGATCACAAGCAGTGAGGCTGGTTGAGGAGAATTTGGAGGTAAACTTCCCCGTATATTTACTTACATATATGTACAATTCGTACTGCTTGTGAATCACAGGTTGGTTGTCAGGGGTTTTTACATGCAATTTGCTCATTATAGGGCAATCACAAAATACTGTATTGACTGGTGCTTGCCTGGACTTTGATTTGCTGGTTGCTTTCACCATCAGTTCTGTCAGACCAACATTAGGAAGAAGGCATTGATTCTAAGTTCTTCAATGATCATAAACTCCCAGTATTGCCAGTTACATTGTAGGAGAGGCAGAGGTGTCTCCTTTCACATCATTTTTGCCTAATGAAAAGCTCTG